CGGGCCGATGGCAGCGGACGATGCAGCTCCCGCTGGCTGCATGGGGGCCAGTCCTCCCAGACACAGAAGGCACCCCGATTCTGCAAAGGGCCTCTCTTGTCCCTCTGTCATCGGTCTTTGAAAGGGCTCTGTGAGCTCGAGGACAGCCAGCAGGCCACCCAGCGTGACCGGCCTGCCTGGGCTCCCCGGCCTCTGCTATGGGTGCTTGGTCTGTTTTTGCAGTCCAAGAGTCGCTGGTGTCTGAGGAGATCGTGCACGACCTGGATACCTGTGAGGTCACGGTGGACGGGGACGAGCTGAACCCGGCCCAGGAGAGCCTGGAGGTGGACACGGCCCGCCTGCAGCAGAAGGGCATTGCAGTGAGCGCCTCCGACCTGGGCATGGTCTTCACGGGTGAGCGGGCCAAGGCCAGGCTGGGGGCGGAGCGGGAGCCTCAGCCCTGCCCCTGTCCTCTCTGAGCTCTGGGAGAGTCCGAGTCCTGGAGGCTCAGCATGGGCTGCTCGCCTTTTCCTGGCAGAAAGTACAGGTATTGCCCTACTTCCTGTCCTTACGAGGGGGTAGAAGTCAGGCTCGGGATGGCACCCGAGAGAGGGGCAGACGTGCCCACACACTCGCACTTCTCCCCACAACTGGAAAGCCAACACGCGTGCCGTGCCCATTGGTCCAGCTGCCCCCGGGCCCAACCCCGGCCTCCCCTGACCCCGGCTTTGACCCTGGCTTTGACCCCGGCCAGCAGGCAGCCTTCTCACCCGCCCCCGCAGGTGTGGACAGCATGGCCAGCTACGAGGAGGGGCTGCGTCTCCTGCGCTATCGGAACTGGCACAGCAGGTCCCTGCTCGACCGGAAGTTCAAGCTTGTCTGCTCCGAGCTAAATGGCCGCTATGTCAGCAACGAGTTTCAGGTGGAGGTGGGTGATTGGGTGCCCACCTACAGCCCTGATGTTTGCAAACGCCATTTACAGAGCATTCGTGTGACAACTGTTGGGGTGCGTCCAGGGGCGCGCTAGCCTTTCCCAGCCCGGGGGGCTGCTGCAGGTTAGACCCGCGCAGGTTTGGGTGGGCTGGGTGCAGCTGGGGTGCCCCTTCCGTGGGCGTCTGAGGGGCCTTTGGAAGGAGGCGGTCGAGAGCTGGAGGCAGTTAATGCCTCATGAGTAGAGCCAACGTTGTTAAGATTTGACTCTGCTTGAGAAAGAGTGATTCCCAGGGAACCAAAGATTCTTTGCAGACTGCTGGCCCCGGGGAGAGGGTCCCGGCGCGGGGCTGGCCCGGGCAGAGGGGTCCCGGCGCGGGGCTGGCCCGGGGGAGAGGGGTCCCGGCGCGGGGCTGGCCCGGGGAGAGGGGTCCCGGCGCGGGGCTGGCCCGGGCAGAGGGGTCCTCACGTGGGGCTGGCCCGGGGGAGAGGGGTCCCGGCGCGGGGCTGGCCCGGGGGAGAGGGGTCCCGGCGCGGGGCTGGCCCGGGGAGAGGGGTCCCGGTGCGGGCCTGCCTGGGCAGAGGGGTCCTCACGTGGGGCTTGCCCGGGGGAGAGGGGTCCCGGCACGGGGCTGGCCCGGGGAGAGGGGTGCTGTGCTTTCTGCCAAGCCTGATGGTGGCAACTCAGCATGCGGTGGTCAGAGGGTGCTCACCCTACTCTGAAGTCTTCCACAGGCTGGGATGGGAGCCCCTTCGTCACTCAGGGCTTCTGTGGTCCGAAGAAATGGGCCGAGTTATTCTCAGCAATCGAATGTCTGCACAGTGACCTCAGAGCAGCAGAATGCTGAAGTCACGGTGCTGAAGAATCGATGAGGGTTTTGTTTGAGCCAAAGGCTGACGTATTTGAAAGGAAATAAATGGTTATGATTTGTGCTCTTTCATGTGGCTGTGGTTTTGGGGAAAAGCGGGGAAATGGGCTATGCCGGTGCTTCTCGAATGACCCGCAGTGAAGGACGGTGGTGGTGGTTTTTCTGTTCTTTTGTGGACAGGTTCTTTTATGAAATACAATGAAAGGGAATTATTAGAACAGCGCTCTATTTCTGGGACGGGTGACAGCATTAGGCAGTTAATGATGGTTTCTGAGAGCTAACCCTTGATTTTTTCTCTATTCTCATCTGCTCAGCAGTGCTGGTCCAGGGATCCCTTTGAGTCGCGCTAGCCCCGGTAGCTTCTGAACTGCATTTCCGTCCCTGGGCCACATTCAGGCTGCTGTGTGTTTCTCTGCTGCAGGTGAACGTCATCCACGCAGCCAGCCCCATGGAGCACGCCAGCCACATGGCAGCACAGCCCCAGTTCGTCTACCCAGAGCACCATGCCTTCGTCGACCTCTCGGGTCACAACCTGGCCAGCCCCCACCCCTTTGCAGGTAGGACTGTGAGCAGAAGCAGGGCCATCTGGGTCAGGTCTAGGGGGGACACCCTCCCGCGTGCTGCTGGGAGCCTGGCCCCCGGTCCGAGCAGCCCTAGCTGACTGGGCTCTGTGATTCTGCACCATCCGCGAGGGATGGAAGCACAGCAGGGCAGAAAGTGGCCAGCCCAGGGCTCGAAACCTGTGCTCAGACTCTCCTTACATCTCTTCCTTTCTCTGGGGTCGGACGGAGCAGCCCTGTGTGCGTGGGGCGGGGGGGTCGCGGGCACGACCTGGGGCGGGCACCAGCCTCACCGCCCCCTCTCCCCTTGATCACAGTTGTCCCCAGCACCGCCACGGTGGTGATTGTGGTGTGCGTTAGCTTCCTGGTCTTCATGATCATCCTGGGCGTGTTCCGGATCCGGGTTGCTCACCAGCGAACCATGCGGGACCAGGACGCCGGGAAGGAGAACGAGATGGATTGGGACGACTCTGCCTTGACCATCACCGTAAACCCCATGGAGGTAGGTGCTGACAGGCGACCCCGCAACTGAAAACCACTGCAGGCCAGGGCCAGAGCGACGCGCGCCCCAGAGAAGCCACATGGCGGTGGCACGTCCACGTTTATGTGGCTTAGATGTCACATGATCCACATGACAAGTTGGTGAGGTGCAGGTGTCCCCGCTCCTCAGGTGGACACACTGAGGGCCCAGAGAGGCCTTATCCTAGCTCATGCCACCGCACGTGACAGACCCCGTGGGAAGCGACTAGAGCTACGTTTTCCCTCCCGTCTGGGATGAGGTGACTTCCAGCGTGGTCCAGCCCGCCCTCGACGTGGAATGTGACGCGGGGGGTTCCTTCCTCCGCGGCTCCTGGAGGGTGAACAGCTGGGCAAGCTCGGCTCGTGTGCAGAGGCGGGGCCCGGGGGCTCGGTTCACATGCCGTCTCTTTGTCAGACTTACGAGGACCAGCACAGCAGCGAGGAGGAGGAGGAAGAGGAAGAGGAAGAGGAGAGCGAGGATGGGGAGGAGGAGGATGACATCACCAGTGCCGAGTCGGAAAGCAGCGAGGAGGAGGAGGGGGAGCACGGAGACCAGCAGAACGTGAACAGGCAGCAGCAGCTGGAGTGGGACGACTCGACCCTCAGCTACTGAGCCGCGCGGCCGCTCCCTCCACCACCTCCCTTTCTGCTTCAAGAGACTCTGCTGCCATCTGTCCTCCCAGGCCCAAGGGTCCACGGTGTACAAAGTCATTCTGGCCAGTAGGTCTGCAGACCCTCCCCATCGCTGACCATCCGCCTGTGCTTGGTGTGTAGGCCCCCCGCCCTCCACCCAGACCGCTCTTAAGTTATGTGAGGAGCTGACGCACGCTGTCCACGGCTCGCTCTGCGCGGCCCCCTCGCGCCTCCAGAAAAGCTGCAGTGACCGGACTCGACCAAGGGTTAAAATCGCTCACTCCCACCTCGTAATCCGTTTTTTTCTTCTTTTTTTTAAAAGTTTTTATTTTTTCCAAACTAGTGCATGTATAAAATGGCAGAATGGGGGTTAATATGTAGATGATGAACTGACTTTTTAATATTTTGTAAATAAATTGCGATTCCTCGTGTCCTCCATGCTAGTGTGACCCGGGACTGGCATATGCAAGGTGAAGCCTGAAACAGTGCAGGAGAGACCCCGCGGGCTCCTGCCTCACCCCCACCCTGAGAGGAGAGGGACCTGCCCTGCTCGGGCCTTGCTGGGTGCACCCCTTGGTGGGTGGCCAGGCAGTGAGGGGGAATGGACTTGCGCTCCCACCCGAGCTCAGCAGGAGGGCACCAGATCGGGACCCCTCTCTGGAGGCTGGGAAACGGCCAGGCCTTTCCTTTGGGATTCTGCCCATTTCTGATCTGACAGAGGGGTGGGCATGCCGGGGTCTCTGGCCTCTTTCACACACTCCGATGACCGGCAGCTCCTTGCGCAGGAAGCTGGACTCCTTGTGCGCAGCCTTGGGTTCATACCTACTAGATGTCCGTTGTCCTGCTGGTGAGTGTGCGTACGGACGGTGCAAAGCGTCTGGCCACTTGGTTGGAGACAGAACAGGCCTGAGTGGCCCGTACTCGGAACGTCCGAGGACAGACGCACTGCAAGGACGCCCTGTGGCCGGAAGGCAAAGTGCTAGCTTCCCCCCCAACAGCCCCAGAGGTAAGCCCCCTCGCCAGGAGTGGGGAGCCCCACTGCTCGGCCTGGTGGGGGAGGAAAAGGAGAGGACATGTCCTGAGCTAAAACCCCTGTGGGCACTTTGTTTTTAATTTACATGTAAAATTTTAGATTTCTAAAACTGGGGGAAAATCATTTGAATCCTGTTCTGTGATCATGACTGCTAGTCGCGAGGACACTGCGGCTGTCCTGCGTCGTGTGTGGCCGTCCTCTGTGTCCTGTTGCCCTAGCCGCCCCATGTAGACGATGGTGGAGGCTGATGCGGGCTCCGCGTGGGCCGCTTTCCGGATGTGTGTACTGATGAGGCCAGAACGTGTATACACGACAATAAAATGCTGGTTCTAACCCCAGTGGCAGTGTGTCAGCTTTGGGCCCGGTTTTGTTGGAATCCTGCATCCCCTTTGTTTTTTGTGGGTTTTTTTGGCTTTGGGGGTTTTTTTGACCTGAGAACACAACATAAAAAGGCTTTTCTTTCTTTTAGTATGCTTTTACCTCTCCTGTGAAAGCTTCACAGAGTGCGGGTCTTCAGCCCCCACGGGTTAAGTGTTGAACTCACCTTCCCCGTACAGAAATGTTAAAAGACCAAAAAAAAAAAAAAAATCCTTTCTCGGCAGGTGCACAGGCCGTGTACCCGAACCAGAACGCCAGGAAGCACATAGACTCGTTTAAATAAATAACACAACATAGAGACATACACTCAGCTCTTCCTATTGCCAAACCGGCGAGGTGGGGCGAATGAATTCAGCACTTAGTTGGGGACAAGGGTGTGGTCAGTGGTGGGCTGGGGCCGGTACTCCCTGCTCACGGACTGTGCCTCTAACCAAAGAAGGTCGGCACCTGGCTTCTTTTTTTTTTAAAGCCACGCACCTGCACAGAGGGCAGCTGCTCCCGGCTCTGCCAGGCCTTGCGAGGCCTTTGAGAGATTGAGAGACCAGTAGTGAGCTGGGTGGGGCCCAAGGCGGCTGCTAACACGTCAGGCTCACCCGTGGGCTTCGAGAAGCCCAGATTCCTAGCCCCGTCTCCGGAGTCGGCCTCAGATGGCCGGGAGGGGCCCAGGAACCTGGCACTGCTAGAGCTCTTCAGGTCCACCAAAGGCGAAGCCTGAACTGGTTCAAGCCAAGTACCGTCAGAGAAAAACATTCCACCACAGACCGGCCCCACATTTCCGAAACCTGATTGCTCCCCCACAGCAGGTTAAAGGGGCGAGTCTGAAGAGCAAGTCCTCTGTCCTCAAAGCCTGCTTTACGAGGCCGGATTCAGATAATTGCAACCGAGTATTCCGACCTGCGTTCGCCTTGATCCGTGGTTGAGCTCAATCAAGCTCCAATCTTTTTAATGTTTTGAGGACCAGCGTATATTATACTTTCTGGGGCTGAGGCCATTCTGAGCCATCGAGGTTCAGTGAGTAGTTTGTTTTCTTTCCTACCCGCAAACAAAATTGCTTTACAGCAGAGAGAGGGGAGCAGTCCCGTACCCGAGTCACTTTAAAAGTGGAAAGCAAGCATCCCTGAATCTAGAGGGTACCCAGGCTTCCCCTGGGAGCTGCCCAGTGCTCAGTCAGTGGAGAGCACAAAGGTGGAGGGGGGAACGGAGTCGTGGGCACCCTGTCACCAGGGTGATCACCAGGCGCCAAGCCCTGTGCGGCCCGGCGGGAGCCCGGGAAGAAGGCAGGCTTCCCAGCAGTGGGGAGAGAGCAGTCTTTGCTGGGTCCTGATTCACCAGCTGGAAGACTCGGGGTGACTGACGGTCCTTAGCAAGATGCGGCCTCGGAGGTGCCCGACTCCCAGCGTCTCCTCCTCAGAGCCTGAGGCTCGGCTCAGGGGCGCAGGAGGACGGCGCCCCTCCCCTGTACAAAGGATACATCTCCATTTATGGCTGTTTAGCTCCTGAAACATTTCAAGTCATAAATAAATAACCAGTGTAAACAAAAGGCAGTGTGTAGGCGCTTGCCCACGGGGTGCCGTTCAGGCTCTTCGGCCCCACAGGACGGCTGAGGGTGCCCGGTGCCCGGTTCCCAAGGCGGGTGGGTAGTTCTCGGGCGGCTATTGCCTGTTATCTTTGGACACATTGTGGGCCAGCCAGTTCACTTTGGTCTTCCAGCTCTCCCGGAGGGCTTCGTTAAACTTCACTCGGAAGTGCTTTAGAGCCTCCTCCTCAGTCTTCCCCAACGCCAGAGAGTCCTGGGGTAAAACCATCAAAGCAGTGAGCTCGACCCGAGGGGGGGCAACCCCCACCCCGCCCCGAATACTGTAAATTCCCTCCTGAAAGACTCGCAGGAAGGGAATCAGGAGACCGCCACCAACGTCTGCCCTGGGAAAAGCTCTCTGTTCTGATCCCAAACCGAGATGGGTCTCCTGACCCACCCTCCAAGTAAGACGCCAGCTCCAGCCAGGAAGCCGCGGGCCCCCAAAGTCGCAGGGGTGGACAGGTGGCCTCACCTTCTGCACAGGGGGAGCGGAGGAGGGGGCAGCGTCGTTGTGCATGAACCAGGCACCACAGAGGGGCTCGTGGCCGACCACCCTCCCGACCCCCCAGCTTCTCCCACACTGAAAAGACACAGGAAGGAAAAGCATTTTTAAACGAGGACGGAACGTATCTAATCGCGCCCTCTTGTTCGAGTGGAACCACGGCAGCCTGCGGAGGACAGGAGGGCGGGCCAGGGGAGGTCCCCGCACATCTGCCATGGACCCAGGCCGACCCCCGGCTGGGTCGCAGGCGGCGTGAGGAACCCCCACCGGGAGTGCCCTGTGGGGTCCACAGCGCTCAGAGGCGGGCCTCGGGGCCTTGGGGGCTACCGGGTCTGCCCGGCTGGGCCCTACCCTGGCATTTACCTTGAGATACTGGGTGTCTTTGGAACAGCTGAGCTCCGGCAGGCCAGCGGCCCGCATCAGGGCGAAGAGGTGAAGGAAGAGCAGCCCGTGACGCCGCAGGATGGTGTAGGCTCGCTCACAGTAACCCCGGAATCTGCGGGGCCAGAGGGACGTGGCAGGTGGGGCTCTGGCTCCCAGCCATTCCCACCCTGCTCGTGCCCCGGAAAGGGCCCCCAACCCCTCCTCCTACAGGACCCGACCCTGAGCCCGGCCCGGGACCCTGAGCACCCTCACCTTTCAAACTTCTCACTGTTATTCGTTTTCCCCTGCTGGATCACGTGCACAAAGTCATACGTGAGGATGAACGGGACTCGCTCACGGTTGATTCCAAACTTGGTCTTGAAATTCCCCAGAAAGTGGCCAAAATCAATGTGGAACAGCTAAGAAGAGGGAGGGAGAAGCGGTCAGAGAGGAGAGTGCCCCGGTCGGGGAAGGGGGCGTTGGGAGGGAGAGAGAAAGCCGGGAGGGTGCAGCCCACCTGGCAGCCGGCTCTGCCCTACCTGCCCATTCTCGCGGATCATGATGTTGTCGCTGTGCCGATCACCGATGCCCAGCACGTAAGTGGCCACGCAGTAGCCGGCGCAAGAGAGGGTAAACTCCTCGATGGCTCGATCCAAGGCCTCCCTGGGTGTGTGTTGGTGGGAAGGGGGATTCAAAACGGTGGGCACGCATTTCTCAGCAACTTCTACGAAGAGGTGGGGTCTGTGTCCCCTCCCCTTGAATCTGCCCTTAGGACCAGTGGGACAGGGAGGAAGCGGTGTTGGGCTCATCCCACAGCCTCAGCCTTAAGACACCTGGCAGCTCTCGAATCTGACCTGTTGCCAGGCCGGTTCAGGAAGCCAAGGCTGGTCTACTTGCAGAGGGGAGGCCACGTGGAGACATGTGACCGGGGCCCACCCGGCCGGTCAAGGCACCAGCGGCGAACAGTGGCATGAGTGGTTCCAGGCCAGAGAACCACTTAGCTCAGCCAGCCCAAGCTGCAGGTTTGTGAGCCTATAATACCTGGTGGTGGTTTTACGTCCCTAAGCTGAGAGTGGTCGCTACATAGCGACACGGGGAACCGACCCCTGGGCTCATGGAGACCCACCCCGCCCCAACAGAGCAGACCTGGTCCCCGGCTGAGCCAAGAAGCCGTGGAGACTGTCACGGGCCCTGCCCCTCACCTTTGACTCCTAAACCTTTGACTCTTGGAAAGGAGAGGGCATCCGTCCCCGGGCCCAGAACCTACCCAGGGTTCTTGGACTTGAGCCAGTTGAGCAGGGCATCCTTGTTGAAGGCTGCTGTGGCCGCCATGTTGCTCTTGTTGAGCTGGATGTTGGCGATGGTGTCTGAGTGAAGCACCACCTCAATGAGGCCTGTGCGGTCCCCCGTGGAGAGGCAGCCATAGGGGGTCATCCTAGCCAGAGGGGAGGAGGGGCAAGGAAATGCTGAGGTCACGGGCTGTCCCTGGGGTGGCCTGACACTCCGCCCCACCCAGAGGGGCTCAAGACAGCCAAAACAGCCCCAGGAGATGCTGCAAGGGAGGGGAGAGGCACTGGAAGGGGTCCGTGACGCCTGGAACTCGGGGGGAAGACTCCTTGGAGAGGTCAGGACCTGCACCCAAGCTGCACAGAAGGAACGGAGGCACTTTGGCCGAGCTCATGTTTGCTCAGAGAGAAATCCAAGTGGCCTGGAAGAAGATGCCACCGCTTCCCAAGATGGGGCAGGAGGCCAGGGATGCGTGGGGTGAAGGAAACAATGGAGCGAGACAGACGCCGAGGGCCAGGCCTGGCCTCTCCACCCTCACACTCTGTGGCCCCACATCGCCTCCCTTGGCCCTAATTTTAAACTGGTCTCTGCTCTTCTTAGAACAACCCCTTTTCCAACGGAGGTGGCAGTGTTGGCTCTGACAGAGGACTCCTCCAAAGGGACAGGGTCCTAGGCCTGCAGCAAGAACAAGCGGATGACAGGAGGGCCTCTCACCTCAGGTCTAGTCCCTCCTGCTTCCACAGAACATCCATGAGCTGGATCATCTGCAGAGTCAGCATGTCCTGGCGGAGGTCTGCGCAGCCGCCCCCCGGAAGGAAAAGCACGAGCTTCTGGTGGGCTCTCCACTCCCAGCCAGGCCCAGGCCCCGGAGCCCCGGGACCCCATCTTCAGGCCGCCCTCCCCATCCCCCCACTCAGCGCAGCACGGGTCGGGGGCCAAGGCCTCCGCGGCACTCTGCCCGGGGCCCAGCCTGCTCACCGTCCCCGTTCTTAAAGATGATGCCCACACTGCCGTCACTGCCCGCCTCCTCGTTGCTGTACATCACCCACAGGGGCTTCATCTTGGAGTCCATGAAGGTGCACTGCTCCACGCTGCGGGCCAGAAAGCAGTCAGCGGGGGGGGGGGGGGGGGCAGGGCTCAGCAGGGCGGGAGGAGGCGCCGGGGGCTCGGGGCTCACCAGACTTCAGCCAGCAGCGTGCTGGGGTCCAGCGGGGACTGCAGGTTGGAGAGGGCCTCCAGGTAGGTCTCCTGGCGTATGCACAGGTGCATCAGCTCCTTGGTCTGGGGCTTGGTGGTCTTCTGGGAGCTCACTTTGACGAAGTCACTCAGGGCCTTCAGCTTGCTCAACGCCTCCCCCTGGCAGGGAGCATGGGCCGGTGTGGTGGGGTGGGAGGCCAGGAGGGGCAGGCTCTGGGCCTCGGCCCCGCCCCAGGGGCTCTAAAGGGCCCGACCCCCTCAGACAGAGCCTGGCCCAGGGCAGGGACTCAGGGCCCGAGCCTCACCTGCTTCATCAGCACCTTCATGTGGTGGGTGCTGCCCCGGCAGTAGGCTTCCATGATGAGGCCAAAGCGCAGAGCCACGGAGGGCACGTGCATCTCGGAGCTGGACGGACGGAGGGAGGGAGGGGAGGACGGCTGAGCCTCGCGCCTGGCAGGGCCACACCCCCGAGGCCGGCAGGAACGGGAGGCCAGCGGGCCAGGGGCCCCTCCTCCCCAGGGCCCTCGGGGAGACGCAGCGGCCCCGGTGGGTCCACTACCGGAGGTGCCAGAAGAGGAAGTGGCCGATCTTGCGGTTGGCCAGGGCCCGGTCCAGCAGGAACTTGGTCAGCTCGCAGTCGAGGTAGGATTCGTACTTGAGCACCTGCACCAGCTGCAGCAGGTACTGGAAAAGCTCATCGTCCCTGCGGAGAAGGGAGGCCGGCCTCACCTGAGCAGACCCCAGGCCAGGTCCAGTCCTCACCGGGCACGGGCTCCGCCTTCCGGGGGTAGTGGGGACCAAACCGCCCTCCCGAGGAGCAGGGAGCCCCGGGGGGCCTCACGTCAGCTTCCGCAGAGACTTGATGGCGAAGGAGCCCACGTGGCGGTCGGGGAAGCTGAAGTCCAGCAGCTCCAGGGCGCTCAGGACAGGCAGCTCGGGCCAGGAGCACAGCAGGTAGAGCATCTGGGGGGCGCCGGTGGTCAAGGTGCGGGCCGGGCAGGAGGCCCTGCCCCCCTTCCCCCACCCCTCCCCTGCCCCCCACCTGGGCCACATCCTCGTGCTTGTTCCACTTGGTGACCAGCAGCAGGCGGGCCAGCGCCTCGGGGAAGCGCTCCTGGACCTCGTGCCGCATCTTCCACACCAGGTCCTTCTCGTGCTCGTACAGCTCCCCGGAGCCCCGCCGCTCCAGGATTTCCCGCAGCTGTAGCTGCTGAGGGGTGCAGGCAGGGTGAGCTGCGGCCCAGCCTGGCGCCCCGCCAGCCCCGGGCCCCGGCTCACCTCCTCCTCACTGAAGCGCCCGTGCTCCCCGTGCCGCCCCAGCTCCAGAATCTGCAATGAGTGGCCCATCTCAGCGGAGACCCCGGACCCTGGGCCAGCCCTGGCAGGGCCCTGGGGCCGGCGGGGGAGGGGGGAGGGCGTCAACCCCTCGGCACCCCTGACCTTGGGGGCCTGCAACTCTCAGCGGTGAAGGCTGTCCTGTGCACAGCATCCCCGCCTCCACCCCACAGATGCCAGGAGCATCTCTCCCACCAGCTACGACAACCAAAAGTGTCTCTGGACATTGCCCCAAGTCCCCTGGGGAGCCACGTGGCCCTGACCGAGAACCACTCCTCTAGAGCGCATGAGGGTTCTAGAGAGTTAAGGAAGTCCCCGACTGCGTGGGTGACCAAGCCCTATCCCTGGGCAACTCAGGGGATGGGCGGGGGGAACCCCAGAGGCAGGGTCAAGAACAGTCATCTTTAGTCCCACAGCCTCTGGACCATCCCAGACCCTGGACGGCGAGGGGGCTGACCTTGTCCAGGGTGGGGTAGTACACAGGGTAGGGGGCCACCTCAGGGAGGCAGATGACGAGGGCCGCAGCGCTCTCCGTGTTGGGGTTACTCCGCACTGTTCCCGTGGGGTTCAGCAGCTCCCCTTTCTCGTCTGGACACAGGGACAGACGGGAGTTGCCCGGGGAACGCCACCATCCGGGAGCCCGCTCCCCTGCGCCTCTCCCTTCCACCCGGGCGCACCTGGGACGGACGGCCACATATACAGGCAGCATTCCCCGGTCTTGAGCTGGTCCTTGTAGTCGAACAGCATGAGGTTGGCCCAGGCGATGGGGCAGTCCTGGGAAAGAGCACGGGCAAGTCAGGGCCAGCGGCGGCAGAGCCAAGCTTCCCTGCCCTCACCCAGACTCCCTGCGAGGAAGGCAGCAAGGTCACCACCTCTCGGCTCCCTTCTGCTCCCAGAGGCATCCCTACTGCCGGCTTCTTGAGAAACCCCCAAACCAACCACACCGGCCCGAGAAGGCTGGCCCACCTCGGCTGTGGGGTAAGTCGGCGTGGCTCAGTGGCCGGTCACATCCTGGGCCTGGTGACTCAGGGCCCACCCCCCATTCCTTCCCCGCTGGCTGCTGACTCAGGACACCCTGCTCCCTGTGAGGACAGCGTGCTTGTCCTTCCACCCCAGAGAGCGGCCTCCGGGTTCCCAGGTGCCTCCAAGTCACCCTGCTCACCAGCCCTGGGACCCAGAGCCGTCACGTGGCAGGGATGGTGGCCAGGATGGGAGGGAGGGCCGCCCCCATCCCCACCTCCCGAGGTGCACGCCTGCTGGAGTGGACCAGGAGCGGCGAGTGGCTCCCGGAGGCCTGGCCCCAGCCTCCTCCCAGCCAGCCCCACCCACCGCCTTCTTGGACTTCTTCTTGGTGGAGCGAGCCTTCTTGGCCTTCTCGATCACGGCGTAAAGTGCAAAGCAGAGACGGGCCATGCGAGGCAGGTCGCAGATGTTGATGTCGAACTCCAGCCGCTGTTTCCACACGGGCTCCGAGCACACGCTCACCTCCGAGCTGGACACCGTCTTGCACAGCGTCTCGTTGCCATGGAAGAGCCCAGCTTGCACCACCAGCTGGGGGAGGGGCGGGTGTTGGTGCCAGGCGGCAGAGGCCCAGCCTCCCTCTCCCCTCCGAGGTTCTCCCACCCACCTAAGGCCCAAAGCTCCTGAAACACCCTTATTTCACATGGGTCTGAATCCCACTTCCCACTCGGAAGAAAGTGGCGCCGAAGAGGGGCGGCTGACTCCTTGAGCGGGACAAGGGGCCACAGGGTGAAGGGAAGGGCACCATGGGCACTATGCATGGGCTCCCCACGACTCTGTGGGACCCCAGGGCATGTCGCTTCCCTGCTCGGGGCCTCAGTTTCCCCACTGGGGCTTGGGAACTCCAGGGGCCCTTCACGCTCTGATACCCACGAGCTCCCCGCACAGCTCAGAATCATATGAGCCCCGCGAGCAGGCAAGGATTTCATGCCACCTGAACACCCCTACCCTGCCTCCTCCCACTGCACCTTGACAGCCCTCAGGGCCCAGCCAGAAAGCTGCCTCCATCCAGGGCTCCAGGATGCCATCAGGGAAACCCAGCCCCGCCTGCTTGTGAAATCACCCCAACAAAAAGTGCTCCACAAAGAGACTAGACCTCTGTGGACCCAAGCGTAACATCCAGCAAATGGGACAATGAAATAAGCACCTCGCTAGCTGTCCTGGGGATGGAGGGAGATGGGGTGTGGGAACAGCCCCGAAGCGAAGCGGGTTTGGCCCCCAGGGGTCCAGGTGGCCAAACCCCAGGGGTCCAGGCGGCACGCCTCCTAAGTGCCCCCTGGGAGTCCCAAGGCCCCGGGGCCCAGCCAGAGCCGCTCCTCTCCCGTACTTGTCACCTCCCAGACCCTGCAGTTCCCACATCCCTGGGCCTGGGCCTGGCCCCACAACTTCCACCCGAGTCAAATACCCAGAACTCGCTGGGCCTGGTTTCCACGAATTAGCCTCTCTGGCTGGCCAGCCAGCTCCCCTCCCCCCTTCCTGTTTTGAAGTGGCTCACAACCACCCCAGGCAGGGATGCTGGGTAATGTGGTCAGGTGGCTTTCATGTGACCCCCCCCTTCTTCCTCTGCCATCCCTCTAGACCACAGCCACCTTGTTTGTGCAGAAAACATCCCCCCTCCCCCCAGGAGCCCCCTACCTTCATCCGCTCATCGGCATTCACTTTGCTGCCCTGAATCAGCTCCACGCGGAAAGGCTGCTCCAGGGACCACAGGGACAGGGAAGAAGGCTGGGGCGGGCCGGAGGGGGGGAAGCAGGGCCGTCAAAGCAGAGGAATCCAGGGGAGCTCCCGTGGCTAGCGCCCCCGGCCCCTCGCAAGGCCCGTGGCCCCTCGTGGGTGGGGTGAGTGTTGCTGGTTGGGGATGAGGTTCAGGTGCCCGCCCGCAATACCAGCTGCTTTGTCAGAAAACCTGCCATGCAGCTGCCCCAGGACCCCTGAGCTCTGCGGGCATGGCGTTCTGTCTCTTTCTCCAGTACAGGGGCAGGAGGGACATGAGAAGGGCAGCCCGTGAGCCGGGCCTGGGAGCTGCCCCGGGAAGCTCAAACATCACCCGCTGCCCCTGCACACTGGTGTGGTGGTGGCGGGCCAAGCTCAAGGCCCAGCTCTCAACACTGACCCACCAAGGAGCACGAGACAGGGGCCCTGGACCCACTGCCAGCCCGCAGCGTTGCCACTGGGCTCTAGGGTTGGCCGACAAGGGGGAGGAAGGGATGGAGGGGAGGGGAGGTGGAAGGCACCGGCTCACCTTCTTCATGGGAATGGGGGGTGGTTTGGTGCGTGGTTTCTGGACTTGGGGGGCAGGGTCGCTCTGCTCGTCCCGCATGGCCAGGATGGACGAGGAGTGCACCATGGTCAGGTGGGGGGTCAGCCCGCTGTGCAGGCAGCTGCAGATGTACTGCGATGGGGGGTGCAGAGTGAGTGGCCGATGGGGCAGCCCCAACCTTGTCCGGATAAGGGGCTCCCCGATGCTGACCACCGCCAGTCCCAGGCCTCCCAGGCCTCTCCGGCTGACCCTTCTGCCCTCCCCCACTTCCTGAAGTTGGAGCCCTCCTTGTGCCCCTGGGGAGGGCAGCTGAGCAAGGGGACCCCCAAAGTCCCAGCTCCCTACACCCTGCAGGCCCCAGGAGCGTCACCCCTTACCTGGAACTGGCACAGGGGGTAGCTGCCATACAGGTACTCGTGCTTTCCGTTCACCTGCAGCGTGTAGTCCTCGGGCTGCTCCACCAGGGGCTGCCGGAACACGGTGGCCTTCTTCCGGAGCGCACAGGCCATCAGCGCCAGGGGCACGTCCTTGGTGGACACCTGGAAGGTGAAGCTCTCCTGGGGGGAGGAGGGAGGGTCAGCCCTCCACCCTTGTGCAGGGCCCATGGATTCTGGGTTGCAGAGGGTGGCGCTGCCTATTTGTCTGGAATAGCCCCCCCCCCGCCCCCCGAACGTGAGGCAGAGTCTGATGAAGGCACACAGCCAACACCCCGGAAATAGTTATTGAATGAATGAATGGACCCACGACCAAGGCCATCGGGTCGTTCGGCCTTGTCCAACTTGCCTGGTGGGACGTCTGCCCGAGCCCCTCACAGGCATGGGTGCCCCACCAATCCCCCCTGGTGCCCCTGGGAGGAGAGCGAATCTGGGGTGCTGGTGGAGGGCTGGGAAGCCTCACGGGAAGCAGCCCCCTAGTGGGCCCCGGAGCCCGCACGCTGCCAACGGGCTCACCTCGCTGCCCTCAAACTTGACGTTGACCAGGAGGGCCCGGGTGGGGACCCGCACGGTGCCGGCCCCCCAGCTCCGGGCCGAGGGCTCCAGCTGCAGAGGGAAGCTGTACTGAAGCCAGGCCTCCCAGCCCAGCTGCTGCCGGCGGGCGGCCGCCTCCTCGCAGAACTGGCGCATCTTGGTGCGAAAGGCGTTCACTTCGGGGTCATGCAAGGAGTCGAACTCATGGAGGCCTGAGAGGCGGGGAGGCTGGGTCAGCGCGGGGGGCCGGGGGGGCCGGGGGCCGGGGGCCGGGGCAGGCCCCGCCCGCGCGCGGGTCACCTTTGCCGATGAGGAGGCTGATCTGCGAGTTGACCAGCTTCTTCACCCTGTCCCCCTCTCGGGCCACCAGACGCAGCACTGGCAGGAAGGGCTGGATGTCGCAGAGCCGCCGCTGCTCGTCCTCCAGTTCCTGCTGCTCTGCGGTCTGGTTGACGCAGGTGAACACGTAGGCCTCGGGGTCGCTGAGCATGTGGAAGAGTGGCTCATACTGGGCTCGGTGCCACAACACCTGAGGGGACAGTGGCCGGTCAGCCCCTCCAGCCGAGGCGAGCAGGGCCACAGGCAGCCACGAGGTGGCTGGGGCTGGCCTCAGTCAGCCCTGCACGACCCTGACCAGAGGGCAAAGCCAAGATCCCCAAACCCTGTCCTCTCCTGACCCCTTAAGTGATGACCACATGGGACCCCGGGAGTCTCTGTCGCTGCCCTTCTGTGGAGGGTGCCTGATATAGGCTAAAAGCCTGTCCACAGTCTCCCCTGTATGTTACCCTTGAGAGATGGCCGGCCGGACATGACCTCCAGGCACCCCCCAGCTAATCGTTCTGGGGTTCATCACCCTGATTTCCGAATGTTGGCAACGAATTCAGAAAAGCTGAACACATAGAGACAGCTGTCAAACCCTCTATGGGCTGTGTTCAGCTAGGGCGGTCAGTGGGTGCCCTCAGGGCAAGGTGTCCCCAGGGACCCCTGGGAGAGCCATCTAATGGTCAAGCTTTATTGCAAAGGTGTTCACCACTGAGTCACAGAGAAGACAGAAAAAAGAATAGTCCTATTCTTCTTCCATGAGGGATGTATAATTATGGTCCATCAGCACAAAGGGATAGCATGGGGAGCATGACCCAGAATCTAGGGATACCTGTATGAACAGGCACAGAAGGCTCCGAGAGACGTGCTAAGTAGGAAAAAACCCCAAGGTATATAACAGCAGGTATAATTCAAGCCCATTTCTGTAAAAACAACTCGAATAAACATCACAATGAATAGAGACAGGGATTTGACAAAAGGAACTAGGGTTTGCAGGCAAAACCTGGTCCACTCCCAAGTTGCTAGAAGACAGCCATGCCCACTCATTTACATGGAGTCTAAGGCTGTTCTGGACCCACACTGGCAGAGCTGAGTGGTTGCGACAAATACCAGATGGTCAGCCAAGCCTCAAATATTTACCAGCTGGCCTTTCGGATAAAGAAAAGTATGAAGAAACTGAAGGCAAATTGGGGTGTATGCAGGGACCCATGTGTTTTGCATTTCTGTTCTGTTGGAATTGTAGTAGGATGCATGTATGGTTCAGGAAAATCAGATTACCCTTAAATAGAGTTAATCACATGAAAAAGATGTTATAATGTTAACTCAGGAAAAAAAAAAAAAAAAGATCTCAAAGTTCATAATCAGAATTATCACAAAAAACAACACTCCATAGAAAACAGGAAACACCCGAAGTGTTAACTGTGGTTGTCTCATAAGGGCTGGATCACAGGTGATTTTTTTCCTTCTTCTACTTTTTCCTATTTTCCCCAATCAATGCGTCCATATTACTTTTGAAATGGAAAACAAAAAAGAAGAAGAAATTTAATTAAAAAAAAAAAATCTCCCAGGAAGGGGAGACTAAAAAAGCAAAACAAAACCTCAAGGATGATCCACGATCCACTGCTTCTTTCCTTTTTTTTTTGTTCCATTCCCAAGTATAAGCTTTTAAAATTCTGAGCTGAGGTCTTGTCCTCTGGCATGACCCACTAAATCCCACACTTCGCAAGTGGGACGAGCCCGCTGCAAGATCACAAGACATTCTCTGCCAAATACTTTCCAGATGTCTAACCCTTTGACTCAGTAATCCACCCTGAAAATTATTCAACAGAACCCAAAACTATTTCCAAAGATGATGTTTTCTATGATGACAGCTCTACAGAGAAAAGACCGATAAGACTCTTTTAAGTGGCCAGGGCTGGGGATCAGTTCCAGAAATGATAGCATAGTCATGGAGAGAAGAAAAAGCCACCATGGGAACCACAGCCCGAGGCTCCCACTGGAATCTAGAGAGGGTAATCCTGCCCCCATAAAGGGAGAAGCTGAATTCAAAATGCTAGCTGGGCTCTAACTATAAGCTTGCAAACAAATTTTAGATATTATTTATCTTTTGAAATTGGTTTTATAGGATCTCAAATCTGAGCCTGAGCATCTGTCTGTCTGTCTTTCCCTCTGAGTTCCAAGCTCGAAGGTCGGGATCGTACCTTCTTGATGGTGCTGAGGTTGGCATTCCGGGACACAGGGAAGTTCAGATAGACCCCGGTGGGCAACAGGAAGTCAACGGCCACACTCTGATTCTCCTCCTTGGTCCAGAATTCCATGGGGCAGTCAACCCCAGGGGGCATCCTGCTCTTTCACTTCTCAGACCCTGCTTGTCCTGAAAAGGAAGGAAAGGCAAAATGAGGCCTTCCAAGTGTGTGCTGGATGAATTCTTTGAATGGATCCTCTGGAAAGCAGAATGTCAGGACCTTTGGTGGCAGGAGGGTCCGGAAGGAGTCTCTCCCGCGGGTACCTGAGGCTCACCTCCCTCTGGGCCTCATCCTGCCTGGGGTGGCTTTATTGCCCCCCAGACCCCACTTCACCTCTCATCACACCCTGCATCCCTCACCACAGTGGCCCAAATTCAAGACACCAACAGACCCATTCCAAATCATTTTTTCTCAGGAACACATACACGTGGGAGACCCCTCCACGACCACCAGCTGGCGGCCAGAGGCAGGGGATGGCAGGGTCGCTGGTCAGACAACCCAGGACTTGAGAAGGACCAAAGGATGCAGTTCTTGGAAACTTTTTCTTTCTTTCTCTTTCTTTTTCTTTCTTTCTTTCTTTCTTTCTTTCTTTCTTTCTTTCTTTCTTTCTTTCTTTCTTTCTCTTTCTTTCTTTCATATTTTATTTATTTATTTGACACACAGAGAGAGCACAAGCAGGGGGAGAGGCAGAGGGAGAGGGAGAAGCAGGCTCCCCACCGAGCAGGGAGCCCGATGTGGGGCTCTATCCCAGGACCCCGGGATCATGACCCAAACCGAAGGCAGCCACCTAACTGACTGAACCACTCAGGCACCCCTCTTGGAAACTTTCTAACCAGAAATCAAGTGGCTTAAAAATGGCTTTGGCCATCAAACAATTTGTTGAAATAGCTCAATCATACCAACCCCCCCTCAGTCATACCCACTCCTCAGTAACAAAATGCTATAGACACAATTAAAGGTCTTTCGAGTATCTCCCCTCCTCCAGGCTACCACCATCTGGATTCTGGTTGTTTATAATTTCCATGCATGTTTTTATACTTTGATTATACTAATATGTATTCACAAACAATTCCCAATATTTTTGCATGCTTTCAAACTTCGCATGAATAGGGAGTCTTCTGCAACCTGCAATCCACATTATGTTCTTTAGGCTAATCCGAGGGGATACATGTAGCTATGTAACTCCTGAGTTATTTCGCTGTGTCAATAAACCACAATTTATTTACCCCTCCTCTTGTTGATGACCCTCAGGGTTTGTTTCCACTCTTTGGTTATTACAAACAACGCTACAATGTATATCCTTACACACCTCACTTTGTGTGTACGTAGAGCGGGGATGAGTGTTGTCCAAAGAAATACAATGCGAACCACATGCATAATGTCAACGTTGCCAGTAGCCACATTCAAAAGAAGTAAAAAGATAAAAATTAAGTTTAATCATCTATTTTGCTTAACCCAATATATCCAAAATATAGTCATTTCAAAATGTCCATCAACATAGCAAAACTACTAATGAGATATTTTACATTCTTTTGGGAGGGCATGAAGTCTTTGAAATCTGGGGTGCATTTTCACTTAGAGCACATTGCAGCTTGGGTACTAGATTTCCATCAGAAATACCTCATCTATATGTCAATGTCGTACACTTTACAGATGAAAAAGGAGGGCCGCGGACTCAAGTTGCTCCAAATGTACTGAAAAGTTTTCCAAGAAACGAGTTGAGTATCCATTCTTACATTTGAATGAATCAAAATGAAATAAACTGCTTAAAAATGTTATTCCTCAGTCACTCTCCCGCATGTCCAGTGCTCAAGAGAGACACGTGGCAAGGGGCCGCCACGCTGGACCGCACGGGTCCAGGGGAACTGTGGGATCACAGCCATACCTAGGACGGCTCGAACAAGATCCTGAGCTTGGATCTTGTAAGTAAGGCAGTGGTGCTAGAGTTGTCCACCGCTTACTCTCCACATCTCCATCAGCGCTTGGTATTGTCCAATTCACTCATTGCTGCCAATCTGAGGGGCACGGAATGCTCTTTTGTCATTTTAATTTGCATTTCCCTGATTAGCCATAAAATGTTTATCTTCTGCAAATAGCCTGCTTATAATTTTTGCCCATTTTTTCCCTGTGGGGTTGTCTTTTCCTTATTGGTTTATAGGGTTTTTAAAAATATACTCTAGATTCAATTCCCCTGTTGATTAAATGAGCTGAAAATATCTTCTTTTGGTCCAAGTCACCTTTTCACTTTGTTTATGGTGCCTTTTTTTGGTGAGGAAAAGTTTGTAATGCTGATGTAGTCAAATATTGTCCTTTATGTTTTACAATTTTTATTCTTTCAAAAAAGATTTCCTTACCCTAGGGTCCCATTCTCGTAGATTTAAATGACTTCGAAAAATAGTTGAAAGAGATTGTTTAGTTTATGAGAGATATTCTTTTGGGGGCTCTGCCAATAGGGCCCAGACCTCAGCCTTGCAGAAGCGCTGGACGCAGAATCTGCCTGGAGCTGTAGGACATGCGCATCACGCTGGCGCGACCATGTTACCACTGCTGGGATCCACTTCCTCGGATTGTAAAACCACATCCTACTTTGGGTTCCTCTTTCTGAGAATGGCCAGGCCAAAGGCTTTCCTTTTGATTCAAAATGTAGGGGGGGGGGCAGGCAGGAATCCTCGAGAATGCACTTACAATGCTAAATGTGCTTTGGCCACGCTCAGGAAGTCAGGGGCACCTTCGGCCACTCGATCCTGAGGCCAAGATGAGCACATGTAGCATGAGCTCTTGGGACTCCAGCCAAAGGGGCGGTGCCTGAGACAAATGCACCCCCTTGCTCTTCTGCCCCTTCGTGCTGTGGAATGAAGCCTTCAACTACACTTACCCACCTGGGATGCATGGACATACTTTCATGTATAAAGCTCGTGCCTAAGGAAGGAAGACCCAGGATGGTGTTGGCCACACATAATCAAATGCCAGAGATTCGAGAGGAGGAAGCAGGAACCCTCTCTCTCTTTGCGGGCCCAGGACCCAGGTGCAGCTACTCACAAGCCCCAACTCTCTATGAAGCTCAGACTCATCACTCTGCAACGTACGGGACAAAGATGCCAACTAATCCAGGGACTTTAGAACTGCTCCAAGAATGCAAACGGGTACAACCGCTTTGGCAAAGTATCTACTCTTGGCAGTATCTACTAAAACTGAGCACATGGTGCCCTATGACCCAGCAATTAATCGCAAGCCTAGGTATACACTCACCAGAAACATGAGTCCATGTGCAAGAAGAAACACAAACAGGAGTGTCTACAGCACTGCTATTCCTAATAGCCCCAAACTGGAAACTTCCCAGATGCGCATCCGCAGTATAATGGAGAAATAAATAATGGTCTCTTTTTTCCAATGGAATGTTACATAGCAATGAGAATGAACGATCTACAAATACACACAACAGTATAAACGAAGCTCATAAACATGAAGCTGAACAAAAGAAGTCAGGCACAAAAGCCTATGTGCTCATGATTCTAATTATCCAGAGAACACAGGCAGAGCTAATCTATATTGGCAGAGGAAGAGACAGGGGGGACCCCAGAAGGAGGGCAGTTACCCCAGGGAAACGGGTATGAGGGGCTTCTGGGGGCTGGTACTTTTCAGTTTCTTGATCTGGAAGCTGAGGACTTTTCACAAACGCAACACACCCTCAGTTCAAGTGGTTCAGCCAAGTTGATTTCACTCCTGGCCACTGGCATGGCCTGAGCCTCAGGCCCAGCCAATCAGAGCCCTGAATTTCCCACCCCCTCCCACCCCCGGCCGCAGGGATTGGATTGGAACCAGGAAGGGGGTTTGGGCCCAGCCAATCACTGTGTGTCCTCTCCTGGCCACTGATTCCAGGTTGGGCGTGAGAATGTCAAGTCAGTCCAGGGCGTTTGACACCCGGACTTCTTTGGGTACTGCCTCCCGGGGTGGCAAAAAAGAGAGAGTATCCACCTAGAGCTGCTGGTGAGCACCTCCTGCTGCTCTCAGGGGTGAAACCTGATAAAATACCACCACGAAGGAGAGGAGAGCTCAGGTTGGAGGGGTGGGGTCCTGAGGACATCCTCTGAACCCCTGGAGGCAGGCGTGCCTGACGCCACACTCTATCCTTGGACTTTTCAGTTCTTTCAGCCAAAAAAGCCTCCCTGCCTCCCCCCACCCCCATCTTTTTTTAACTTAGTGCAGTTCGAGTTGGTTTTGGGGTTTTTTTTGGTTTTTTGTTTTTAGTTTTTTGGTCACTTGCAGCTGCATGTTCCATTTTAGCTTTTAGTGTTTAGAAGATTCTTTCCTTGGAACTTGGCCTGCCTCTAGGAGCCAACCCTGATCTTTGTGTTGTCATCTAGAGGTACCGAGAGCTGTCTGTCATCTGATGGCTCTTTCTGCTGGATGATGGCCTCAGTACCTCTGGCTGTTCTCCCTATAACACAGTTTTTAGACTCTTCCCAAAGTTCGGTACTCTGAGAAAACAAGAGGTTGCTGTGGATGGGGCCTGACAGGCCAACTGTAGAAGAATGTTCTGGGTACCAGACTCCCATTGCTTAGCCTAATAAAAGCATATCAGCCCCTTTCCCCCAAGAAAGTTCTTCAGTGGTCATATCACTGAGCTCATTGGCTGCCAACCTTCTAGCTATTTCTCCCAGGAAGCCAGGTTCTCCCAATGAATATCCTGAATCTGAATGCAGAAATTCACTATTACTGTTGGTGATTTCATCTCTTGGAAATAATTGGCACCCATGTATTACTGGATTTGATATTTTGTACATACGACTCAGTCTGAGATACACTAGTTTAAACTATTAAGTGCCAAGAGTGGTGCAAGGGGGAGACACTAATACCCAAGCCCAGAGTAGGTAGGAAGAACGATCACACCTTATAGCAACACGGTTAAGACAGCGTGCTAAATGGTGATGTAACGGAGAGCAGCCTACTCCCTGTGGGGAGGCCAGGAAGAGCCCCTCTGAGAAGAGGGTACCAGAGCAGAGGACAAGAGTGGGCCAGTTGTGTCCAGAGCAGACGGAAGGCAGGCCACCGCCACTGGAGCGTATGGGTGGGGCAGGGAGGGGAGGACATAGGACGAGAGGGGCTGAAGAGGTCAGCAGGGACCAAG